TGGCAGTCTTCTTCATCTAGCTGCTGATATTAGAAGTTTCGGAATGATGTGTAGAATAGTAACACTCTCATCTAGTTACCCATAAAAATAGATGCCGTGTTAATAACTACAAGACACTTAAGTTTTTAACCCTGCACTCACAGCTGAATGATCAAAACACGTATTTAGCATATATGATTCTCAGCTGATTGTGGGCACATGCTGAAAATATGCTGCTGAATATGTGCATGCTAGAATGTAGTAAACTACAGCAATTATGGAACTTGCAATAATTTTCACATCAGACTGTACTAAGTTTAGTGCTTAGTTAGCAGTCTCAAACTTGGACAGAGACAAAATCTAAATTAGGGGTAAAGTATGGGCTGCTCCACAACTCCAACAATGGATAAATAGGCTCCTCTCACCCTATCTACCAGAAATCACTCATTTTAGGAAGCAATGATCCAATATTTGTCTGCACTGCACTGCTGGGTGCTAGAGCACTTTTAAAATACAGCCCTCAGTTAGAATGCAAATGAACTTAAGAAAATGGCGGTAACTCAGACCAGCAGACTACAAGCAAATCTTCTTTCATGGCCTGGCAGACTGCAAGAATCATAAAATCATTGAATGGTTAGAGTTGGAAGGGACCTTAAAGATCACTGAGTTCCAAGGAAGGGACCTTAAAGATCATTGAGTTCCCTGCCCTGGGCAGGGACACCTCCCACCAGACCAGGTTGCTCAAAACCTCATCCAGCCTGGCCTTGAACACTTCTAGGGACAGGGCATCCACAACTTCCCTGGGCAACCTGTTCCAGTGTCTCACCACCCTCACAGCAAAGAATTTCTTCCTAGTGTCTAATCTAAATCTCTCCTCTTTCAATTTAAAACCATTACCCCTCGTCCTATCACTACACTTTCTGACAAAGAGTCCCTCCCCAGCTCTCCTGTAGCTCCCTTCAGATACTGGAAGGCAGCTATAAGGTCCCCTGGAGCCTTCTCTTCTCCAGGCTTCTCCAACTCTATCAGCCTGACCCTATAGGAGAGGTGCTCCATCCCTCTGATCATCTTCATGGCCCTCCGCTGGACCCGTTCCAACAGATCCATGTCCTTCCTTTGTTGAGGACTCCAGAGCTGGACACAGTACTCCAGGTGGGACCTCACAAGAGCAGAGTAGAGGGGCAGAATCAAGACGTGACCTTCAGCAGCTTCACCAAAGACAAAAGGCTTCTTTTCAGTTAGTATTGATGTTGATCTCTTACTGGAGTTATTAGATCAGACAGTTACTCTTGAAAAGATTTATTCTGCATTTTGGAATTAAATCAGAACTGCCTCCTTTCACACCAAAGCAGTCGTTTCTAAGAGGAAAATGGATGAATCCAAGGGTTGCATAAAAAAAGTGTCTTCTCCACCAAAATAAAGCCTTGACAGAATTATTCTGGTTTACATGATGGAAAACATTAAGAAGTCAAACAAGAATTTTTCTTCTGAGACATTGATAGTGAGAATATATGGTCCAAATAACTAGGTGACCAGGATATTCACCAGAAAAAAATTTAAAAATTTGCTTCAAAGTTGGGTCAAATTCCAAATCTTCTGCTATTTATAATCTTTCTCCATTCCGTGAACATTTCTGGGAAAACTCTGCTTCATTGCAGAACAAGAATATTTTTGAAATCTCAGAAAATTCCATAAAATGAGATTATTGTTCTCCATCCAGGTATCACAGCAATCATTACTTAAACATTTTTAGCTGCCTGACAAAATCTTGCTTAGAACTGATTCCAAGTGATGACATACTAATGGAAAGCTTTGTGTACAGCAGACACATATTTTGAACACAGAGGTTCCCCTTCCTCTCCCATCAGCATTTTCTGATAGACTCTACTGATCCTAGGACTTTACAGAATTGCTGAGGTAATGATTATGCTGAAGTTCAAGGCAAGTTTTGGAACATCCTCTAGTTAAAAAACCCTAAAGTCAAAAAACTTAGTTCTTAGCAGGACAACTTAACTTGCAAAAGGAATCTGATTTTCAAGCCAGATTTTATTTCTGAGCCCTTCTTATTTTAGAACTGCATTGAAACCGAAGAGTAATCTCTTCAGAGAGTCAATATGGTTTCCATTTGGTATTATCCCATGACTTTGAGATAATTTCACCACTACTATAGCCCTCAAGTGGGTGAAGGAAAGATGTTTTCCTCTATTCCTGGGATTTCTATTACATCCCCTTAATCAAAGATGTAATGGGAAAGAGGGGGACTGAAACGTGGATAAAGACAAGATATTGTTTAGTTTTACAAAATTGATGCAGGGAAGTGCCATGTGAAAAGTCACGGACAGGTCACAGACACAAGTAGCCATCATAAAATGGCTCACCTACTCTGGATACATGTGGAATACGTTGAGCTTAAAAATAAAATATAAGCAACCTCTCTCTGGTTAATCTCTGAGTAAATCTACTGAACTGTAGCTCACAGCTGTTATGCTCCCTGACTGGAATATGTTTCTGCTTGTTTATAAGCGTTCCTACATGTGTTTCAAAGGTGTCTGAACTAAAAAAAAATTCCTGGGTCTGATTTTGCATTCTCATTTATTCTCATCCTGAAGAGGAAGGAAGAGGTATCTATATATTTAGTTTCTATTACATCTCATATTTCCAGTCTTTCAATTTAAACATTAAGAATAGATTACTATTTTTTTTTTTGGAAGCAGATGAAGAAAGAAATCCTGAAAGTCAACAGGATACCTTTTAAAACACAGGTCTTGGCTTTGCCTTCAGCTGATGGGTGAAGAAGAGAGGAGTGAATATTGATATGCGTTTTTTAGAGAACACACTGGGAACTAGAACAGAGGTTCCCAAACTTTCTTGGATTGCTATCAACCCTCAAAATTTCTTGCGGACCCCCAAGCATCATTATCATCAAACTTTTAATTGAAAACACTATGAAAAACAGTGTTTAATATGGCTCTGTGGATTAGCTGTGAACCCTTTGCCACGGCCTCCTGGACCACCAGTGTTCTGTGGACCACGGTTTGGGAACCACCGAACCAGACTGCACACAGAGTACACCCCTACAAAACACTTCTGTGCCTGAAAGCAAGCTCAGTCCTTCTATTGCACGATGTACTCACATAATACACAAGTCAGTTTAACCTTGTTGGTACCTGAAGAACACAACACCCTTTTATTTTTCTCTTACCTTACGTTTCTTTTTTTTTATTGCTTCGGAGAAACAACTAAAAGGTGCCAAAAAAACAGTTTACGATTGTTTCTTGCAGGATCTTTCTCATATCCGGCAGTGGTGTAACTTTTCAGGAAGCTATCTATGAAAATAAGAAATAAAAAAATATAACCCCCCCCACTGGTCATTCCAGAATAGTTACATATCTGTGAACCCTAAAATAAAAAAATTAAAAATATCTTCTAAGCTGTTTCTTTTTTTTTTTTTTCTCCTCTGGAAAATGTGTTCTTTTTTTTTTTTTCCTTCCCAAATCCATTAACGATGTTAAAGCTCTGTGTGTGGTCATTAAAGCATTTCAGCCAGCAACTTTCTGCAAATTCTTTACAGTTATTCTTTGGCTGTAGCTGTAGAAAATAAGGATAGTACTGAGAAGGGAACTTGTAGGGAAACGTTATAAATAAGAACTGCAAAACACCAAGGGCCATGGTTCAGCCCTGTAAGTCAGTGACAGAGTGTGATACCATGCAAGAGCAGGAATGGGCTGTAGCATCCCTTTCAATCATTCTGCCTCTGTATCTCCTTGCTCAAGTGCATCCCACAGGCAATTTGGCCTAATAGTATCTAGTAAAGAAAGGGGGCTTATTTGCTTCTCTTCATATACTCAGCTATAACACAGAATTGGGTATGAGGAACCTTGGCAACTAGTGCCACCACAGAAAAGACAAGAACTTTTTTTTCTAAAAGGACTTTTTTTCCACACCCCCCCCACCCCCCCCACTGGTCATTCCAGAATAGTGAGCAGGAATGGGCTGTAGCATCCCTTTCAATCATTCTGCCTCTGTATCTCCTTGCTCAAGTGCATCCCACAGGCAATTTGGCCTAATAGTATCTAGTAAAGAAAGGGGGCTTATTTGCTTCTCTTCATATACTCAGCTATAACACAGAATTGGGTATGAGGAACCTTGGCAACTAGTGCCACCACAGAAAAGACAAGAACTTTTTTTTCTAAAAGGACTTTTTTCCTACAGAAGGCTGTGCTTCCATGACAGTATCTCACTTGTTTTGGAGAGGAAATAATGCTGCCACAGCATTTCCATGGCCCTTGTATGCTCAATAGCCAAGGTAATGCAGGGGTCTGAGTCGGATTGAGAGCAGAAGAGGGCAGTTACTGCAAACTAATATGCAAGAAAAGTCAGCAAGGGAAAGGTGTAGACTCTACTTTACCTTGAAAGAAAACAAAACCTTCCTACCTCTTTTCTCTACAAGCCTCTCTTGCAATACTTTACACTCAGCATCACTAATGGGTGCTGCTGGAGCATTTATAAAGGTGGATTAATTTTCTTCCCCATTTGTGTCCTAGCCCCCCTGCACATCTGAAAGGGTCTAATATTTCTTACGTTGCCTGAACGCTTTTCTTTTTCCATGCAGTGCCAACGGTTAGAGGTAACTATTGCTTTCCAGTGAGCGCTGCTGCCAGTGACTTGCTGGTTATTCACCTGATATAAAGTTCAGCTTGCAAACCTGACTAGACAGTGTAAAAACAAATCGTATTGCCTCACCTCACCACTGTCCAGACTCATTGCCAAACTCCCCTCTGGTGAAGGGGGATAGGTGGGACTGTCATATGGCTGGTGCTTACCTGGGGTAACGTGCCCCACTTGAGCCAAGCATTTTAAATATGTACGTAATTCCGTAAGAACGAGAATTACCCACCAGAAGTGACACCCTCCTTGCACTCCTGCCTGTTCCTACGCCGTTGCTGTAGATAAATGTCTGTGCTTTCTTTAGTAAGTGCTGCCTTTCTGCCAACCCACCAGCTTTTGGCTTCTCTCCACAGGAAGCAGGGAGGCTGCGTTCACCTATGCCATTACTGCTGCCGGGGTTGCGCACGCTGTCACGGCCGCCTGCAGCCAGGGCAACCTCAGCAATTGTGGCTGTGACCGAGAGAAACAGGGCTACTACAACCAGGAGGAGGGCTGGAAGTGGGGAGGCTGCTCTGCGGATATCAGATACGGCATTGAGTTCTCCCGGAGGTTTGTTGATGCCCGAGAAATCAAAAAGAATGCACGGAGGCTGATGAACTTGCACAACAATGAGGCTGGAAGAAAGGTATTCCAGAAAGGATGAGGGATGGGGTAACTAACGTGTGCTCTGGAGGACGGGGGGAGGCTGGCTTGGTGGCAGGAGGACTTACCCTGAGAACTTACCCCTCTCTCTGCTGTTATTCCACATCACATTACCTGATGGCATCTAATGTTCACGTTTCGTTGCTGTTTCTTTTTATTCAGAGCTGACTATGTATTACAGGTGCTCCCCCAAAACGTTTCTGCTTCCTAAGATTTCTTTCCAGTCCCACTGATAACAGAGAGGACTTTGCTGGAGGACTTTGTTTGGCATTTTTCACCTTCTTTACAACAATCCGGCAAGAAATGTTGGGGCTTGTGATGGGACAGGACTGAGTGTCTGCATTGCTGAACTCCCACAGCTCTTGCAGCATCCAAAGTTTACTCCATCCAAAATCAAAACGCTTTGACCACAGCTCTAATGAGATACACACTTCACAGCAAAGGCACAATTGTCCATTTCACACTGGTGGGCTACAAATGGCTGCATAAGAGTCACTTTGGAAGAAGAAACTACAGCCATGACTGAGTTACTTGCCATGGAAACAATGCACATCATAGAGCTATGCCGATTTATCTCCATTGAATAACAATCCTCATAGCTCTCAAAGCTTGCCCTTTAAAAAGTATAACAAATCTTTCCGCATAATATATACCTACCTCAGGAAAGATTTTACTGTACCCCTCAAATTGTTTTCACCCAGGTAAAAACATACTGCTTCTACCCTCCGGTGTTGTAGATGACTCCAAATGTGCCACTGCTCCACATCTAGCCCCCAAAGTTAGACTAAAGTTTTCTCCCTTATTTTGTGCGTGCTTTCAGTGCTACATCAAGCACTAGCTGCCGAGGTGGGCAGAGATGGTTGAATTGGTGGAGATGGAAGCAGTACAATTATCTTACTACCTGCATTTTGGAGAATGCCTATTAACACTGTTGTGGTTGGTTCTAGCGGGCAGCTAGAACCACACTCGCTCACTCCCCCCTAGTTGCAATGAGGGAGAGAATCAGAAGAGTAAAAGGGAGGAAAAACTTGTGGGTTGAGATACAGTTAGTTTAATAGATAAAGCAAAAGCCACACACAAAAGCAAAACAAAACAAGGAGTTCATTCACTGCTTTCCATTGGCAGATAGGTGTCCAGCCATCTCCAGGAAAGCAGGGCTCCATCACACGTAATGGTTACTTGGAAAGACAAATACCATCATTCCGAATGTCTCCCCTTTCCTTCTTCTTCTTCCCCCAGCTTTATATACTGAGCATGACGTCATATGGCGTGGAATATCCCCTTGGTCAGCTGGAGTCCCAACTTCTTGTGTCCACCCACAGCCTACTCACTGGAGGGGTCTTGTGAGGGACAAAAAAGACCTTGACTGCTTAGCAACAATCAAAACCACCAGTGTACTATCACACTATTCCTACCCCAAATCCAAAACATGGCACTGGAAGAGCTGCTAGTGAGAAAGTTAACTCTATCCCAGCTGAAACCATGACATACCCAGTCATGGTATGTCTGGGCACTGCAGTTCGTCGTGCACTGAAATTAAAGGTGGTGTATGGACAGTTAACCATTGGGATGAAAGTATTGTATAAATTCAAATTGGTGAATGAGACCAGTTACGGAGTATAATCTCAAGTGGACAGGTGAGCCTGATATTTGATTGATGTTCGATACTAGAGGGATACTTGATACAGAGGTCTCCAGACATGAAGGAGACAGCTGACTCAGGAGCCATACAGAAAGGTATCCTTAAGTGTGGCACAATCTTTTTTTCCAAAAACTTGCTTGGTTGGGGGTTAAGAACATCTCACACTGCTGTATTGCAGCTTGGAAGATCAGCTCAGAGTTTGATCCCTTCTTTGGGCATTTCACCTCAGCATCAAGCATTGCATTTGGATGCAAAAGAGGATGGAAGCCACATGTTAAACTTGCAAGGGAGCATTTCTAACTGCTGGAACTGGCAGATCTCTGCAGTGGGCACTGTGCCACCCCCATGGAGATGTTGATGCACGTCCTGTTCTGAACATGTTACAGTATAGATGTGGAGGGACAAAAGAGCAAAAGCGGATGCATAGATGGAGAACGGTGAAGTTCCTTGCCCGAGGACATAAGGAGGCTCCATATCTGAGGCAGGCATTGATCCTAGGTCACCCATTTCTAAATACAGTCCAGTAACCACTAGACCACATTGCTGATTCTTAGTAAGCAAACTATATTTTTACTCTTCATCAGAATTTCATAAGCAAGGGGAAATAAGCAAACCAAAGAAGTGTGCTTTTTTTACAAATATTTCGGGTAGCAGCATTCATAGAATCACAGAATCTTCATGGTTGGAAAGGGACCTTTGAGATCATCCAGTCCAACCATAAATGTATTTCTGCATGCAATACATGCAAATGTATTTCTTTTAACATTTCTAAAACTTACTTTTCTGCAAATGTTCTTACAAAACCAAATGATAACACTCACCTTTGTATTTTTGAGATAGGAGTAAAAAAGGCTTGTAAATACTGACAATATAGGGCTTTTTCCCCAAGTATCCTTTTTTATAAACAGTGTTTTGGAATTCCCACACTTTTTTGTTGTTGGCAGTTTTCAGTAGTTATTTATACCCATATATTTTCATTGTAATCATTAATGCATGATATTGCTCTCAAAAGCTATGGAAGACTGAAAGGATTTGGTGCAGATCTTTGTTTTTGTTTTTAAGTACAATCCATCAAATCCTAAGGAACGTACTCATATAAAAGATGGTTTGGGGGACATATTTAGAAATAATGTTGCTGTTAGGACATACATTTCCCTGAAATGAATATGCAAAGTTAAACAGTATATAATACTTAGTGATTTTGGTTCATCTGAGATCATCTGCTATTTGTAAAAATTAGACATTCTCAATTTGATACTGACTGAAACTCCAGGTTAGAACATAACTCTGGAAACTAGGATGTGCTTTCTTTGTTTTCTGGGTTGGACCTTTCATGAAAGCAGCCACAGAGTTTTGTGCAATTTCAACATGAAATCACCAGTCCCTTCTGAGAATCCAGGCAAACTTGAAATCTGACCTACATCCACCTGAAATTTGGCAGTTTTGGAGGTCCTGGGTAAACCTGGATTGGATTGTAAGCCTAACACAAAATCTGAAACCAGGAGATTTTGCTTATGTGTGGGTGTCGTTCTGACATATTCCACGTGCTCCTTATTCACACTCAGGTTAGAAATATTGCGTTTATGTGTGGGCACTTGCTGAAGCACAACACTGTACCTCCATCCTTTCCCCTTCCAACGTTTCACAACACAACTGGGAAAAGCTCATACATCCCCTAGTAAGACTCTGTCAGCACCATCCTGCTGATCTGAATGTGGCTTGCCTTAACATTGGGAAAGAGTTTGAAGCCAAGCTTCTGGTTCATGACTACTACTATGAAGGATCAAAGTAAGGGTATTTTCCCCTCATTCTGAACAGAAATAAAAGGGCAACTCAGTTTTTTTTAACCTCCCTGTTGCTTCAGAAGTTCTCAAATAATCTTTTCAACCTTAGGGTGGGAATTCCAAGACAGTAAAAGAAATACATCTTTTTGAAACTTCCTAGAAAGATTCTGCCAATGATTAAAATATTTCTTAGTTACAGTTCAATCTTATCAAAACTGGTACAGGGAAAAAAACCCCAACAACTTCATTATATGAACATTGGTCCATTTCCTAAGGTCTTATTTCACAGCGCTTTCACTATTAATATACCTCTCATATTTAAATCTACAAATTCTTATTCAGTACTCAGAATTCTGATTCAGCACTGGCTTAGTTCATACTGAATTGGCTTTTTCAGTTAGGTAACAACAATATTTAGTCAATAAATCTGCTATCTTCATTTTAGTTTTCTCTTTAAATCCCAGAGCCTCCTAAGACATGAGGAAAAAAGGATGCAAAGAACTCCCACCCCCCCTACAGTTATTTCCAACTTGCTCTGAAGGCAGTGGAAGACCTCTGATGACCGCACTAGACCTCTACCAGGTGCCCAGAACATCATTGCTAGGATCATTAGCCAGGACTCTGACCAGAAGTTTTGCCCCTAGAGCAATTATTTGGATACTCTTTTATACCATCGCATGGAATTTTTCATGTCCCGGGGCAGGAATTTTGCTCATTCTTTATCTCTCCCAGCGCTCGTCCCAGACATGTCTGGGAGTCAGAGGTGTTTGTAGCTATAGCAGTGATGATGATGTTTTGCTCTCATAGGGATGTTCTCAAAAGCCAAAAATAGAGTCCTGAGGAATTTTACTCTGAGGGAAAAACAGCACACTGTGTAAGTAATGGCACTAACTTTGCAAACAGATAGGGGAAAATAGTTCTGGAGGCTCAGCTGAGATGGTCAGCACAAAACTGATGAAAACAGATGACATTTAGGCTTTTCAGGGAATTTTTGATGACTCTGGAAAGAATGAAGCCCCCAGTTGCCCCACACTGCATCCCCTAATTGATCTGCATTGCATTTCTATGAATTATTTCAGCTAATGGCAAATTCGTGAAGTTTCTAGTAAATTTGTAACGAATAACACCAGTGACAAACTCATAAACTTGCCATTGGTGCTATTTGGAAGAAATAAATGCTTAGTGATTCCTTGTGACATGAGATGCTACTGATGGAAGATTTAAGCTTTGTGGAGAAACAGCTTTGTGCTGTGTAGAAGAGCGAAGTAGCCAACTTCACCATCATGTTTTAGATGGCCACCATGATTCAGGATGGAAAATACAAGTGTGGTAAATGAAAACAAGCCCCCAAAGGAAGACTAGAGTAAGCCTAATGCAAATGTTACTGAAAGAATGGTTTGTTGCAAATCTGAACAATTACAGAGAGATCTGTGGGCAAAACTTTGATAGAGTAATGAAAAATTAAATACCAGCAAAACCAAGTAAGCTTTGATACTGTTTTATGAGACAGCTTTCTACCATGTATTTTTAGAAACAAGTATCTTTATTCTGGGATAA